CCAGCCACGCACCAGCCCCGCTCCCCAGGCAGCAAGAGGACAGGAATAAAGCAAAGCACAGCCTTACCTGTAATCATAGAACATGGCAAAGACTTAATTATTGCACAGTGCTACAGGAGAAACAGGAAAAAACCCAACCACAAAAGCAAAACCTTTATCCAAGCCTAAAACTTGCTGAGTTTATGGCCTACAAGAGCTTTAAGATAACACAAACCACAAATTCATCAACAGAAAGTTTTGCGTTAAACAGGCCATAAAGAAGGCTTACTTTCTATGAAAGCTAAATAAATCCTGTTATTTCAAATTCCCATTGCAACAGAATCCAACTCACTAACATAAGCAGAACTTAATGTGTATGCAAACCTGAATACACAAATACAATTTTCAAGAACTAGCGTAGAAACTTTTTTCTTGGAACAAAGAATTCAATATCTGATCCCTCTCTTTGGAGAATTAAAGTGCACATACAAGGCCCTATTAGGTATCCAGAGGATGTTAGCCCTTTTCAATGTAAGCAAAGAGGTGCATAAATGTGTGAAATACAAGAAAGAACAGAAAGAATGAAAAAAAACCTAAGTTGTGCCACAAACACATCAACTGATCTTCTGATAAAGGAAAAAAAAAAAAAAACCCCACAAGATATTATGTTCAAAAGTCCCCTGAAATAAAGAACAAATTTTAAGACTCCTTTAATTAGTATATCTTATTTCCACAGTACATTGTAGATTGGTAAATTATTTTGCAGCTTCATGCAGCATTTTTCTAACAGACATTAATTTTACAGACTTCCTGGAAAAAAATTTGAGTGTCTTATAAGTTGAGACACCATGGGATTGTTTAAAACTGCATGCTTTCTTCCTTCAATTCACATCTTAAAGCCATATGTTAATGTGGCACATGAACACCTCACTTTCAGTTACATTTCATATTTTTTACGTGTCTTCCTTAAAAATAGATTTTCTGTTTGGATAACAGATAAGCCACTTGGAGAAAATATGTTCTCTGCATGTCAGACATAGAATCAAAAGCTTTGAATTCAGTTCTCTTGGAACTTCAGTCATTCACATTTTGTAACAGCCAGTTTCCATTTCCATTATTCCTGACTGACCGATAGACTGACAGATGTCTTACTTTAGAGATCCCAAACAGACTATTGGTATCTATTTCAGCCACATCTGTTCCTAAATAGCCTTGGCAACAGGCCACTATGCACTCGGAATTAATTTTAAGTCCTTTATTGCTGACTCTTCACTGTTGAAATACATCAGTGATTCTTTTTCCTTATTGCTGCACTTACATAGAATATCTATAAATGTAAGTTTTAGATTAATATCAACAAGAACTATAGCACACTATAGATAAGAGTAGTACACTTAATATATTGATTTGTTTAAATTCATTATAAAAATATATATTATTTGATTCATTGTGAAATATATATTCAATAGTACATTAGCCTCTGGACTGCTCCAAGATCTTATTTGCTTGTCCATTAATTAATTTAGAAATTATTTTCAATTACCTATACTTAAAAAGCAAGTTTTATCCAAAATATTACTATTATTACCCAAATAGTCAGTCCAGCCTGCACGCTGTCAGTCAGATAATAACTTCATATATCATTCAGTGTAGTACTAAACTGAAGTAGTTTAGTACTAAACACACAAGAAATTACACTTACAAAGTTTTTCAGGATGATCGATACTGGTAAAGCATTGGACAATTGCCAGTTTTGTTAGACTTCCTGCCTGGCAGAAATCTGCTGAAAAAGTGCAATTATTGTTAATCCAGAAACTCTGTGGCAAACTTTAAAAACATGCTGGAGGCTTTAAAAATTATCAGAATTAAACTGGAAACTTAGAAAAATCACATATAATATTCAAATCTGTACTTAAGATAGTTTGCTACAGTTTTGAAGCAGCACTCAGTATGAGAACCTCCACAGTTCAGGGCTGGAATATCAATAGAGAAGTCTTGCCTTTTTCTTAATTTCCATGGTTATAATATAGGAATGCAACATAGAAAGAAGCTAGAGGGACAAACTACCAACTACTGACTGTGAGCTCTGTGTCTCATTGAGGCACTCAGTGCACTGTGAAAAGCAAGCAACCAGCTATGGGTCAGAGGGGTTCTGCCTCCAGGGAGGAGAACGGGCTCAGCTGCACACCCAGGCTGGAGCTGCAGCCTTTCCAAGGGGGCAGCTGAGCCCTGCCTCACGCTTGCCCACGTTCCCACCTGACAGATTCTCTCAGGCTCCACATCCAGTCGCCTGCCCAAGACTCACTTCTGCCATAAGCTCTGTTATAACAAATAACAAAATAAATTCATAATGGGTCATGCTTATTTCAGAGGTAGGAACTTTGCTGTAGAGTGAATAACGAAGGAAGCCATCAAAAATCATCAGCAAGCATGGGTAGCCATCTCTTGGAGATGGAAGCTGCAGAACTCCAGGACAGAGTAAAGAAGGAAGTCCTCCTGATAATCAGGCTGCCTAGAGCCCCCCAGGAACAGCACAGTGGAGCAAAACTACACATACATCACTGTGACATGACTGGGCCCAGGCACAGCAGATGCCCTGTGCTTGGAAGCTGCAGCTTTGAGCTCTGGTAGAATCTGGAGGAGCCAGGGCTGCACAAACTACCACGTGTAAGAGCAAATGATCAGAACCGCAGAGCTGCGGATGACAAACGACAACTTCAGCAAGACAGGAATTCATCTGGAGAACTATGGCAGGTGGAAGGTTAGGAAAAAGGGAACAAAGCAACTACCTTATAGTTCTCTGATTTTGACAGACTGTAGCAATTGCCATATAAGAAAGACCTTTCCCTAAAAGAGGAAGCATCACGACATAAGAGTCCAAGCAAGAGACATTCAGCAGCACTTGCAAAGTGTGAAGACCTGACGACCTCTTAGAACCTCAGGCAAACTACATTAGGAAGCTTTTGGTTTGGAGAGAACATGCATAAGCCAAATCCCAGTGGAAAGACTTGTCCAGAGAGCCTTTAGCCATCTCTGAACACTCCACTGCTGTACTTACCTACGAATGAGACCCTACCACAGATGGCTCCTCCCAGCACCAGTACAGAACACCCCAGGGTAAGTGCTGCTGGGAGCCAAGAACGAGGGAAAGAAAAAACATTCAAGCTCCAGAATCTGCATTTGACTGCTGCAACTGCAGCCTCTCAAAAATGAAACTATTCAGCAGCTCAATGCCACATAGTATAAAACCAAATTGTCAGAGAAAGAAGTTTCACCATGTATTTAATACATGTGCAGTAAAAGCCCAAATCCTGACAAAATTGGCAGCAGTTTGTCAGTGCTGCTTTCCACAGGACTCCTGAAGTCCTGCCATCTGCTATAGGTCTGACTATAGGCATACGTCATTACTTTTCAGGAGCTATGAAAAGTTTGTGATGTTTGTATGAAAGTAGCAACTGAGAGGGGTGAATTTTTCCAAGGAAAACAAACAAACCAAACCAGCCAAAAAAACAAAAAAAAAAAACCAAAAAACAAACCAAAACAAAGTCAAAAACTTACAAATCCCAAACCACAGAATATACTCCCCATTCTCTGGAAGCATGGAGCAATATACACTAGAATCTATTCTTCCTGTCTGAACCTTAATATCCTTCAGTGATGACAATTACAAGACAATTACAGACCCTAGTTCCTGATATATGGCAATGCAGCCTACATTAAAGAAGGCAGAACATAAAGTGACACTCATAATAGAGCTCCACAGGCAGAACGAAATAATTAATAAATCACATTACAGATCACATACACAGAGACCTGTAGACAGTCCCAAAAGAGAAGGAAGAGAGCCTTCAGCACTAAGTAACAGCACTACTTCAGGCACCCAGACTGGCTCCCCAAGAGGAAGGGCTGTGCCCCACACCGGGTGCGGGGGCGATCAGAACTCAGCGGTCCGGCTGAAAAGCAGGTATTTAAGTGTGAGTGCAGCACTGCACTAACACGGTGACACCACGCAGAGGAGAGGAGTCAACAGCAGGGCATGACTGTGTATTTGTTCAGTTTCGGCAGCTCCGGTATCCCAACATGCTCACACTAAATGAGCCATAATGACTTCACCTGCGAGCATGTGACTACTTCTTTGCTTCTCTAAATGCTGACTCCATGGTGATGAGATCTTACCTACAGGAACTTTTAAGTTCTGTCCAATACACTTCTAAAATAAACGTGGTATTTTAAGCCTGGACAAGCTAAACATGCCATCCCGGAAGGCAAACACACTGCCTGGAAACAGCATTCCTGAATACAGCTTTGATTTCTCTTTCATGTAAACACTGGGAGGTCACTGAAATAAACAAGCACTTTTAGGAGTTCAGGAGTGTATATGCAGTTTTACAACTACGTATATGTTTTCACAGTTTCTAGGAAAAAAATATCTCTTTGGATACATTCAAGCAGCATCCTTTGCTTCTTAAACTTTTGTACATAATTTGTTTCACTTGATCAAATCCTGGAACCACACTTTCTCAGTGCGTTGCCGCGTGAACACCACAGAGCAACGACAACCTGCAACAGAAGCCTCAACACAAAACTCAGGCACACCCCGCAAAACCATACTCTCTTCTCTGTACTCTAGTTTATGTAACTGCCAAAGAGTATAAGCCGGGAAAAGTTGATGCCGCAGAAACAAAATCAAATCCTCTTACTGCTCTGCCTGGGGCTAAAGAGGCCATAAAAACATGCTCTCTACCTTCTGTCCCTTTCGTATGACCCACCAAGTAGACAAGGCTCTTGCTAGAGAGAGCTGGTACAGGTACAAGACACTCAAAGCGTTACGAACAATTTCTTTTTCTTTTCAGTCTTCAAAGGAACCTCGAAGGGAACAGAGGTGCCCGACGGCACTGCCTTTAAGCACTTTACAGCAATCCCGGTTTAGGGTGAGCTGCCCGGAGAGCCCCGGCCGCCTCTCCCCGCTCGCCGCGGCCCGGCGCGGGCGGACACCCCTGCCCCGCCCTGCCCCGTCCCACCTGTGGGGCTCTCGGGCAGGATGGGGCTCCAGCGGAGCCGCCGGGCGCTCAGAACCACGTCGCAGCTCCTCTTGCCGATCTCGAAGATGCCCCTGAGGAGCGGCTCGTCCCCCGCCGGGGCCGGCGGGGCCGCGGCCAGCGGGGCCACCCTCCGCCGCCGCTCCTGGGGCGCGGCGCGGGCGCGGCCCTGCGGGAGCCGCAGCCCCGTCCTCGGGCGGCGCCGGGCAGCGGCGCAGCGGGGCTCGGCCCGGGCGGAGCAGGGCGGCACCGGCCGGAGCCGCGTCAGGAGCGCTGAGCAGCGCCCGAAGGCGCTCGGGCGTCTCAGCGCTGTGCTCTCCTCAGTTACTGCTCCAAGGAAGGAACTCTCCCGCTACAGAAATTAGATTTCCATGTCAGAGTCCCAAGTGTTCCACTTTTCTGTTATCATTACAATATTGCTATTACTTAGCTTTAGAAAACCACGATGTGAAGTTCTAATAGCCCTTGCATTCTAAAAAGACTGAGTCTTTCACAAGTTGTGATTCTGACATAACCTTAATGTAAATACCATGTTGGCATTCGTGGTGCAAAACAGATTATTGCCATAAACCCGGGTGGAGGCATCATCCAGCTGTACCCTTCATCCATAAGAATGCAAAATATTGCATTCCAGCAAAACAGTGACTCAGAGTCTGATACTGACTGGTACTGGAACAGATCTGCTATCAAGGGGGCCAGTGCAGAAGAAATGCCCAGAAAGTTTGCATAGTCATCCTTCATCCTCAAATCTTGGATGCAGGGGAGGAAGACCACTTTACTCTTGCTCTATAAATTATAGCCTTCACTGCTTGGAAGTACGACAGCTTTACTCACAGCTGCTGTAAGATTCACTGATGACAATCACGTTACAGCGCAGGGCCATCTTCCCTTTATAAGGTGCTTCTGAGCCTGTAAGGGCTAAACTTGTACATTTATAAAGTTTTATAATGGCATGGTGGCTTACTAGGGTGTGAAAAGGATATTCTTAAAGAAGAAGTTCAGTGATTTTATTTTTAATGTTTGTAACAATACAAATGTAGCTGTCCTGAGAAATAAAGCAATAAATTGAAAACATTTCCCTTCGCTGATGGATACAAAATACAGTTTAAACCACATGTTAGAGTTTCATCCTGTGATGTTTAGCCTTGTAGAAGAGAAATGTTGATTACAGTCAAACCAGCCAATAGCTCACAAGATGATGCATGTTCTCAAGGCACGTTGCCTTCTTTCATAATTCCATAAAAACCAGTACCGAGGTACTTATTATGTAGAGAAGACAGGTTTAAGACACATTTTAAAAGTCATCATGGTACAACTTTTTGATACTTATTTCCATCTATTACTTTGCCATGTTTAAAGTATATTCCAAATATTTGTTAAATATGCAACCCATTTTCAATTTGCATCGAGCCATTAACACAGCTTTTACTGAAATGCAGCCCTCACCAGTTTGCCTTTCTGAATCACATGACCACATAAGGTATATGTTTGCTTAAAGCTTTTAGTAATTATCTCAGTTTTCATTTTGTCCTTTAGATCTTATTTGTTGGGATATAAATACCTCAGCTGCAAAGTTATCATATAGAATAAGATATAAATAATTTAAATTATGTGTAGAGTGTAGAAGTTTTGTGCAAAACATCTTTAAGCAAAAAAAAAAAAAAAAAAAAAAGAGTGGTGAGCCAAACAAGCTTGCCTTAACATTTATCATTCTCATACAGCAGTAGATGAACCAATTCAATTTGTGCCTATTATTTGGTGTCAGTGATCTTCAATGTGTTTGCACTGATGTCATTCAAAAGGAAAGCTAAATCATTAACTGGAAGATAAAGAATAATATGAAGCTAGATATAGTCAAATCTCTTTTGAGGCCATATGCCCTGTATAATTCCCTGCAGTCATTTGTATTTGTTTCTGGGACAATTTATTAGCCTATACCACCTAGTGTATATTATATATTATCACCAGATAATTTCTCCTAAGGTAGAGGAAAGGGTAAACTGATAACTGGCTTAGAACCCTAAAATAATACTGTTTTCAGTACCACCAGTGGGAAACTACTGCAGTTCCTAAGAGACTTGTAATATCCTTTGACTGATGTAATTAAAACTTCTAACACCTTCTTATAGGCATTACTTGAAAAGTCTATTAAATCAGTAACAGTTAAGGTACTAAATATATTAGATAAAAACATGAAATAGTAAGAGAATTCTACAAAGTAAAAACAACCATAAAAGTCTGTTCATTGTGTTTTGCTGCTGTTCACAAATCCTCAATGCCCACAGTTCTTTGTAAATCTGAGACAGAATTTTTTCCTGGGGGGGAAAGGTTCCAAACAAGTTATTCTAACAGACTTTTTTTTTTTTTTTTAGTTATCACAAATTTCAGATTTGCACATTGAATTTGGAAATGCATGGAATAGCCCAGCAATATAATTTTGTCAATTTTTCTAGGCTATGTCTGGAACTCTCACACATAGAACTCCCTTTAACTTTCTTGTAAGAAATGTTTGTGTGTATTGATGTGATGGTATCAGTGGTATCTTCTGTGATGTTCTCTTATCAGAGAAAGAAGATGCATGACAATCAGTAGGAATTGTATAGTAGATATTCAAGCAGCAAGGAGCACTGAGCCTACCTGCAAAGTACCTGAGCAAGGAAGTCTGGGGAGGGTGTTAGACTCCATCCCAGACCCAAATCATCAGCCAGGCTTACAATGATGAGGCAGGTCTGGATCAGCAGGGTTCAGAGCCAGGTGAGGATTGGAGCTGAGCTGCAGAGCAGCATCACAGCATCTGGAATTGAAAAAGTTGTAGTCTCAGAAGGAACTTGAATAGAGCTCCAGGCTCATGTGTAGGGTTGGTGATAGGGTTGCAGGTGGGGATGCTCAGGGTTTTTGAGGCTCATTAGTGGCCTCATGGGCCTTGCAGCCAGAAGAACAAAGGAGGAACTCTGAGGAACAGTAGGAGCAGGCTGCTTCATAAAGGAAACGGGATTTAGAGTGATTACAGGTCAGGTAGGATCCCATATACCTGACGAAGGTAAACAGAATTGTGTGTAGCTAAGTTCAAGAGCCCAGACAGCCAGACAAACCCCTTGTATCAAGGCAGGTCCAGCATCAAGCTGAAAAGCAGAGTCATTAGGTGAGGTCAGGTGGCAGTAGCCAGTGTCAGTGCTAGCCCAGCAGCCAGCAGGGAAGCTTGTGTTATCAAGGCAGGTCCAAAGTCATACAAGAATATTGAGTTTGTGGGTCAGGACCTGGATATGGCACAGACATGGCTGCAATAAGATGAAGGCAGACACCACGCTTAAGAGCCGCTTTTAAATCACAGATCTTGCATGAGGGAGGAGACATCTCCCTTGTGGTGTCCCAGAGTTTGCTCTCAGCAATGTGGACCCAGGGGAAGTTTTATCCCAGGTCAGGATGCTGGTCTTGAGCACAACCAGATGGCCTAGGAGATTGAAGCATCCTATGGCCCAAGAGAAGAGGTAGTAGGAAACAAGGAGAGGAGCTAAGCTCTCCGTAACCAAGTGTCTCTTTCTGGAAATCATCCCTTGCTCTCTAGATGCTAAGTAGGGAGAGCCTCAGAACTCTTTTCCAAAAGAACCTTGTGAAGTGAAGAAGGAGGTGGGACAACCTGTGACAGAAATAGTGAGTGAGGGAAGTACAGCTAGTATTAACTGAAGGACAGCAAGCAGGTAAAGCTTGCTATTGGAAAATATGTCTTCCTACCTCAGAAAAAGTGTCTGTAAAAATGCAATGAGGTTAGTAGGCCAGTTTTGGATTCATAAGAAATGTGATGTTCAAGCTAAGGAACAGGAATTTAGACAAGAAGCAATGAGAGGACACTGGGGAAAATATCTTGTCCCCATTCCAGAGCTTTTGAGTGAAAATTTCTGGTAGCTGACTTGTTTTCTGCAGCTAATGGAGATTTCCTTCTGGAGAAACCTGAATTTTGAAGTTGGCAGCACACCCTTGGCTTCTATGTTTTTCTGGCTACAGTGTGTGTTTATACAATGAGAGTTTTGTGTATAGTCAGTTATACTTCAGCTGTTCATTCACAGAAATTAGCTCTCTTAAGTATGCTCCCTTCTTACATTTCTACTTCAGAAAATAACCTTTTGTAACTCTTAATATTAGTTCAGCTCTGCTGAGTTGGTTTACCATGAAGAAGTGACATTAAGCAGAACACCAAATTTTTTGCACGATAAGCAAAGCCATAAATTATTCTGGAGGAAAATGGTATAAATGGCCAGTAGAAGAGAGCATTACTATTGCTATACATCTTCAAATTTTCAAAAGAAGGAAGGTCTTAAAGAACAGAGAAAGAAAAGTAGGTAAGGAAATGGACAAACCTTTGCCAAGAGAACAAGTGAAATTATTATGCAGGTACAAGAAGCTGCAGAAATGCAGTCTGAAGTTACAACCATTCCTGATACTCCCATGAATTGAAATTAATCTTAATCAGAACAATAGAGAAAAATGTGGTAATAGGAAGAATATAAAATGAGAATGTTTGATCAGAATATATTATATTTTCTTTGCATTAAGGTTGGTATGCTATCTTTTTAAAGTAATTTTTTTCCCTCTGAATCTTATTTTCTCTTGCTCTGTCACAGCGTTGGTAAACATGTAAATATTAGTTGTTTCTATTTTATTTCATGCAAAATTCAGTTAACTCCATGCTGCAAACTACTACAAGCTAGGAAACTGAAAACTAGGGCTGATATTCTATGTTTTACATACCCTGTAGGCAACCTAAATACTTAAGAGAATGCTTTGAGAGCATTGTCAGTTTTAATTTTGTATTGCATAGCTTCTGACAGTTTGTTAAATACATATATGAATTATTTAAAAAACACTTATGTAGATATTAGTGTATTTGTAGATCTTCAGCTCGCTGTTTCAGCATGTATTTACGTGCTATATTTTTCTAGGGTTTTTTGTAATATGGTATTTTCAGCTAAGGAAAAAGTGTAGACCATTTATAATTTCTGAAATAATTACCATACAACCCATCTTGGTCAATAAAAACAACGACCAATTTCTGCATATTTTCCCTGATACAGCATCAGGCAGAACTCCAAGTTTCATTTCTGTTCTTCTTCAACAGAAATGAGTGAGAAATAAGTGGGTTTTGTTTGATTTTTTTAATCTTAAGCTACTTTTTCTATATATAAAAGAGAATGAAATGTAACTCTGTAATTTTTAAAACCATTTGACAAGATGGTTCTCTGAACAGAAGTGTTGTATTTTTAAAAAAAGAGACACGTTTTTAGTATGTCAAAAACAATTGATAAGGTCATGGTGGATCTAGTTTTAATCCAATACAATATTGAAATAATTGCAAGATTTCTCTACTGTTACAGAAGATAGAAAATAATTGTTTTTCTTGCTCTCTTGTTTTCTATTAATCCTTATTACCTCTGGAATTGCATGTTGCTTTTCCATGTTAGTTTATTAGTATTCTGTAACAGTATCTTTTGGAGGAAGAGGCTCTCTGTTTTCTTCTGGTGAATTCAGGAATCTTGGTTCTCCTTGGATCCACTTCCCTTCCCCTGGAGATTCCTTCTGAGTGCACTGGGCCACGGTTATTCAGGCACGTTGTTCATTTGGGCTAGGTAAAACCAAGGCTTCAGTCTCCCAGGCAGCTTGTGGATGTAACCTGGGATTCCATCATTTCAGACTCGTCAGCTGTGTCTGTCACAGCCAGCCAGGTCCACAACCTCCACAGAACCTCTTGTGCTGTTCCAGAACACCAAGAAGGGAACAGCTGCAAGTCATGACTGTTTCTTGTATACGGTACCTGCAGATTTAACCTCAAGCATGCACTGCTGGCAGAACAATTTCTGCTCTCACAAGTATGTCATAAAGAAGAAGGGAAACGCCATTGGTCACAACCAGCCCTAAAAATAGAGTTTTAGGCCTGTGCTGGCTGACCCAGTGTGTGTGTGGGTACAAATCAACCCCAGAGTTTTCTCTGCATGCGGAAGTTGGATAATCCCACTACAGCCTTAGTTAATTAGCGATATGTTCATAGGACAGGAACAGTGTGAGTAATTCTTTCCATTAAAAGAGACCTTGATAGACCTTCCTGCGGGAGTCAGGAGCAGAAATTTCAACATTTGGCTTGATGTTAATAATATGACAGAAATATCATGGAGACATCACAAGCGTCAGCAAAGTGGGGGAGGGGGGAAGATCTCCAGTATTTTATAAGGGTGGTGATAGTGAAAAAAACCACCCAAAACCAATTGAAATAAGAAAACTCGCAAGTGATTTGTAAATTAGAGCCTCTAGTTACCAAAATGCCTAATTAATTTTCCTTATTAGATTGCTCATAACATTAAAACATTACTTTCTCTGAAGACCACAGTAGCAAATTCTGGGATAGCCTAGGTAGATCTTTTAAGTAGGTTGCATTGGCTGGAAGAGTTGAATTTTGTTATCAACAGTGGAAAAAGAAAAGGTAATTGAAAAGGTTTCTTGTGCTTTGGAAATGCCTTCCAAATATTCATTAAACATTTAAGCGACTAAATTTGCAGAATATGTTCCTGACATTGGCACTGGTTCTGTGGTATTTCTCTCATCAGATGGAAGTACTGTGTGTTATGCAGAGTGCATTCATGCATAAACAATATCATTTTCATAAATTAAAACCTCCCCTGCAGAAGGAACATCTGTGCCTGCCTTTGAATAAAAGATGGTGGCATGTGAGTTGCCCCTTGACTGACTAGAAGAATCCTCGTATTTAGGAAGAAGGCACATAACCAAAAGGCAAGCAAGCCTGGGTCAGCTTTTTCAATTTTATCTGAAAAATCGTCATTCATTTAAACCCCTTGGGTTATCCAGGGCACACTTACCTGTATTGCCAGTGACTGGGAAAGGTTAATGTGTGCTTGAAAAGTTGCCTTTTGCGTTCTTTCATTTCAGATTCAGCAACAGTTTTCAAGTGTGGAGCTACAAGCTCTGGTGAAATGCAGGGAGATGCTGCAAAATGCATCAGTCAGCATCGCAATTAAATTGTAGCATGTTTTTAATGGGGAAGCCTGGCAGCAGGGGCTGCTGAACTGCTAGGACAGGATTGCCATGCTTACACGTTGGATTTCTGTAGCTACATACACCTTTAAAATAGATGCCAGAAGCTCGATTTCTCCTGGGGGAAAAAAACGCCCTCATCCATAGGAAAGCTTGTTTACTTTCTGCTGGGTTTAGCTGAAATATTTATGCAATACCTGCGCTTCGTGACAGGCTTCCTATAAAGTATTTCAGATATCGTCTTAAATCTGTTTCTGATGGTCAGAGGCAAAGACCTGTTGATAATTGTTCCTGGTCATTAGGGGAATTGCTCTCCCGCAGGTTGCGTCTCCGGGTTTCTTAAGCCTCAAATATAATCAGCGAAGATTAAAGGAATACGCTTCCCGTCTGGGAGAGAGGAGGGGACGATGAATCGACAGCGCGGCTCCAGGTCTGCCTTGCGGGGGGAAGGCGCACCTGCTGCCGCCGCGCCGGGGCCGGAGCGCCCGCTCCCGGGGCGCGGCTCCGGGCCGGGGCTGGCTGCGGGCACCCGGCCGGGGCTGGGGCTGTGGGCACCCCGGGGGCCGGCACGGAGAGCCGCGGGCCGGGCTGAGCCGCCCGGGCCGGTGCGGGAGCCGGTGCGGGAGCCCGTGCAGGCGGAGGCGCAGCGCCCAGCGAGCCGCGCTTCGGCCCCGCTCCCCTCATCCGACACATCAGCATTGCAAATAGCCGGGTTCGCTGTAAACAAACGAACGCCTCCCCGCCTCGAGTACTTCTCAAGGTAAGTAAAGAATCCGTGTCCTTTTTTTAGTCCAATTTTATTCTACAAATAATAAGTGTTGCACCTTTCATGAGCTATCCGAATAAAACAATAATCCCATAGGAATTACTTACACTAAGGAAAAAAAAAAAATCACATTTAAGGAAAAATGCAACATTCGACCAAATGTTCAATACTATGTTGTTGCCAAAGGATGGATGTTTTTTTTTTTTTCTAAAATCCCAGTGTGCATTACACCATAATATACAGGATTACAAACAAAATTACAGTACAGATTGATTCCAGTTGAACCAGCGTTACATTTCAAACAGCACTTATTCTGGACTGCATTGTACATGCAATAGCTATTGTTCTAATTACGGATTAAATGGTTTGAATTTGTTTCAAGCTACCGTACTAATCGACTACAATAGGTATATAGCCCGACTTTAACAACCTGATTAGATTTCGGTTCAGATTTATAAGATGAGCATATGACAACCACGGATTGTGTGAACATGTATAAAATCATGCATTTATAGCGCCTGGAAAAAAAAAAAAAAAAAAAAACCAAACCAAAACCAACCAAAAAAATCCAACAAACCAAAACCACGGAATGCGAAGAGATTCAAAGACTAAAAAGAAACAGTGCAAATTGTATGTGATAGTCAAGCAGCTTTCGATTTAAAAAGGGTGTTGGCATTTGCTTATAATCTTTATATACAAGTTTGTGCAAGTAATGTGTTGAAATGATATGTTTTAATAGAAAATAAGTCTATCGTTCTTATATCTTCTCAAGACCTAGGGGATCTGGTTCTTATTGTACGGGGTAAAGGAAAAAGAAATAAAGAAAAAAGAAAAATAATTTAAAAAGAGACTTGGATGGGAAAGAAATTGCCCGGATTGTGCATTTTTTTTTCTTCTTCATCTATTTGAAAAGGAAAGAAGTGCTAAGGCAACATAACTTCTCTAAGCACTTTTCTGCTGGTTTAAATTAGTTAAATCATTTTGTATAAATTAGATATAATTCTACCTTTCCAATATGTATAAAAATTGATGAAGCTGCATGGTTTAAAATAGGAAATTCACGTTATAAAAAGTCATTAAAAATTCTGTACAAAATCACAACAAAATAATTCAGCATGGGAAAGGTAACAAGTAGTAAAACGTTGGTTGAAAAATATAGATTTCATATATATTTTGTAATTGGCCCATCGCTAGTTTAAAAATTGCATAGATCCTAATTATTGCTTGTGATTTTGTTATCCCGATCAGGTAATTGACGCGATCCCAATGCCCCTACCCCAATTTACAGCGTCGCTCGGAGGAGCGGAAGCAAAGAGCGGGCGAGCGGGGCCCGAGGCGGCGGCGGGGCCCGCCGGGCCGCCCCCTGTAAACAAGGCGGTGGCGGCGGCGGGGCGCGGCTGGCCGGCCCTGCCTGCGGCGCGGGGAGGCTCAGTCGTGGAAGATGGCGTTGAGCTGGGCGCTGAGGACGCGCTCGTGGTGCGGGTGGCCCTCGTAGGGCGCCAGCCCGTCCACCGGGATCTCGCAGCGGGAGGCGGCGGGCGGGAAGATGGCGGCGTGGGCGGGCGCGGCGGCCAGCGCGGCGGCGGCGGCGGGGTAGTGCATGGAGAAGGCGTAGCTCTTGTCGAAGTCGGCGGCCGGCTCGTGCTTGAAGGAGAAGTTGCCGTTCACGCTGAGGGGCGGGCTGAGCGGCCCGTCGAAGGCGGGGCTGGCGCCCTCCGCCAGCCCGCTCTCGAAGAAGGGCTCCAGCGCGGCGCCGTAGGCGTGCGGCGGCTTGAGGTGGAAGAGGTGGGAGCTGTCCATGGTGCCGTAGGGCGGGCTGGGCAAGCCCGGAGACTGGTAGGGGTAGGGATGCGCCGGGAAGGGCGCGCCCGCCGCCGCCGCCGCCACGTGCGGGGGCACCTCCTGGCTCTGCTCGGGGAGGAAAGTCCGCGGGTTGAGCTGCAGGCAGCCGGCCACCAAGTTGGTGGTGGGCTGCGACAGGCCCTTGCAGAGGGTCTGCACGAAGGACACCAGGTCGGGGCTCTTGCCCGAGCGGAGGATCTCGGAGAGCGCCCAGATGTAGTTCTTGGCCAGGCGCAGGGTCTCGATCTTGGAGAGCTTCTGCGTCTTGGAGTAGCAGGGCACCACCTTGCGCAGGTTGTCCAGGGCCGCGTTCAGCCCGTGCATGCGGTTGCGCTCCCGGGCGTTGGCCTTCATGCGCCGCAGCTTGAACCGCTCCATGCGCGCCTTGGTCATCTTCTTCTTCTTGGGGCCCCGCCTCTTGGGCTTCTGGTCGTCGTCTTCCTCCTCCTCCTCTTCCTCCTCCTCTTCGTCCAAGTCGTCCTCCTCGTCCTCCTCCTCTCCGTTCCGCAGGGAGTCCTCCTCGGCCTCGGCGTGAAGACCCTCCAGGTCCTCCTCCTTCTTGTCCACCTCGTGCTCCTCGTCCTGGGAGCTGAGGCACTCGTCCGTCCAGCTCGGGGGGCCCTGCGGCTGGGGCTCGCCCATCAGCCCGCTCTCGCTGTACGACTTGGTCATGGTGAGCCTCTGCATGGCGGAGGGGACAGAAAAGAGACGTGTCAGCACCCGGAGCAGCGGCCGTGGCCCCGCGCCACCACCCGCGGGGAGAAGTTGCCCGCGCTTCGCTCCCCGGTCCCGCCGCCCCCTCCCGAGGGAAGTCCTGGATTCCCCACCGTGCCAGGGCAAACTTTTAATTGTCTCCGCGTTTCTGCCTTGTAATTAAGTTGACATATGTTCAAATACCATTATGTAACTCGCCGATATTAGCGGGGAATATAAGAAGATTATGCTTGCGGGAGCCAGCCCGGGCGGCACGACGCAAAAGGACCAAGCGTGGGTTGGTTTGTTTTGTTTTGCTCCGGAAAAAAATCCTCAAACATTTTTACCGAATAGGAGAAGGGAGAAGGAGGACACACGCACACACAGGGCACCTGCAGGGACGGATGGCGCCTGTGACGCCTGTCCCCGCCGCTCTCCGCGGTTCCCCCTTGCCGGCGCCTTGCGTGGGGCTTGTGCCGCCCCAGCGGGCGCCGAGCACCTGCTCCCCGGGCCCGCCTTCGTGCACAGGACTGTCACCGGGTGCCTGCCGCGGGGCTGCCCGCGGTAACAGGTGCGGGACTGGCCCCGGCTTCCCGTCTCCGTCGTCTCCTCTGCTGCAAACGAGCATCGGTTCCCCGCTTCCCGTGTGGGGTTGCGACCGCTCCCCGGTAGCGTCGGGCACACCGGGAAGAAACAATGCCGCACGGCCGCCGAGGCACAGCCTGCGCCGGGAGCGCGGCGATCGCGTCCGCGGAGGAGAGGGAGCCGAAAGTTCGGAGGAGCATCGGTGGAAGCACATTAACACATGTAATATGCGTCTGTACAAACGGACGCACATATACATATTTAAATGTGTGTATGGACGCACATACACATTTACATATATATGTATGTGTGTGTGTATACACACACGTACGTGGATGGATGGATGGATGGATGGATGGATGGATACAGGTGTGCCCGCACACACCAGCAGGAACGACAGCAAGTGACAATAAAATCTGAAGCCGCTCCGACAGAGGCATGTCCCGTCCGCCCCGACGTCGCAGGGTCCTCTCCCACCCCGGCAGCCGCCGCGAACCCTTTTCCCGCGGGGGTAAAGCACGGTTTCCCGTTACCTCCGTTGCTCAGCCTCTCCTGCGCGGTGACGGTCTCATAACCTCGGCACAGCTCTCGGTGCGAGGGCGCCGCGCGTGTGTGCGTGTGGTGTTTTTTTTTTCCCGAGGTTGCCCAGCGCCGGGCTCCCCCCGTTATATAGCGGGACGGAGGATGCGCGCCGGGGGGCCGGCACCGGGACCCGGGCACCGCGCGGCC